CTGGGGGGCTGTTGGTGCCCTTGGAACACCCCATGGGTGTGTGGGACACAGTGGACCCTGTTCTGGGTCGCAGCACAGGAGTAAAACATGGAGAAACAGCAGTTCCAACCCCCTTGGGGTTCTCAGCTCCCCCAAGGCCCATGGAGGCCCCGTGGTCTCTCAGAGCAGGGGGACGCGGTGTCCCCCCGGGTGCCAGCCCTGCCCCACCCAGAGTGACGGGATCTGTTCCACCCAGCTGCCATCCTGGAGCGCAACGGGAACGCCCTGGCCAACAGCGCCCGGCGCCTGGAGGTGGTCAGGAACTGCATCTCCTACGTCTTCGAGAACAAGATGCTGGAGGCCAAAAAGGTGAGGGGGGCTGCGGATGGGGGTCGGTGTCCTCTGTGGATGGAGAGGACATTCCTGTCCTGTGCCCACGTCCTGCTGGTTGACTTAGGGTCAGAAAGTTGTGGAATCACAGAGTTACTGAGGTTGGAAAATCCCTCTGAGCCCATTGGGTCCAACCATCCACAACACTGCCAAGGCCACTGCTGACCATGTCCCCAAGTGCCACATCCATATATATCCTTGAAATCCCTCCAGGGATGGGGACTCCAAACCTCCCTGGACAGCTGTGACAGTGCCTGAGCAGCCTTTCTGTGGGGAAATTCCTTCTGATGTCCCCCCTGAGCCTTCCCTGGCCCAGCTTGAATCTGCTGCATCTCCTGCTGTCCCTGTTCCCTGGGAGCACAGCCCCACTCCCACCTCAGTAACAGGCCATGGAGCCATTTGGATTGGCAGTCCCTCTGGGACCATCAAGTCCCACCATTCCCCAGCACTGCTGTGGCCACCACTGACCCGTGACTTGTCCCCTGCTGGTGTTCCTGGGATTTTGGCTGGTGGCTCCACACCAGCCCAACTCCATTGCTGCATCTCCTGCTGCCCCTGGGCTCCTCCTCCTCCTCCATGGCCATGTCCTGCTGGCCACACCTGGAATTCTGCCCTGCTTTGTCTCCATGTCCGAGTGCATGCCCTGGCACTGGGGTGGGCACTGTGTGGGAGCAGGGCTGTCCAGGCCCGTCCCACCCCACAAACCCCGCTCCCACAGCTGTTCCCAGCCGTGCTCCGTGCCATGAAGGGCCGNGCCCTGGGGTGCTGCTGCCCCCGTCCCATGGCCATTCCCAGCCCAGTGCCCTCTGATGTCCCGCAGTGCCGGGGGGTTCTTTGGCAGAGGTTTCTGGGAATGTGGTGCTGGCTCCCAGCCCAGGGCAGGAAGCAGCTGTGGCCTGGCTGCTCCTGTGTTCCCAAGGCGCTGCTGGAGCAGCTCCTGCTCCTCCTGGGGGCACGGGGGGGTGAAGGTCTCCCTGGCAGAGCAGGAGGGGCTCCCCCTTCCCTGGGATCCCAGTGCCAGCCGTGCTTCCCAGGGCAGGGTCAGGCCAGCAGAGCATTCCTGATCCCCCATGGTTTGTCCCCAAGCCCCTCAGACCTTTTCCACAGGGGCTGTGGGGTCTCTGGGGAAATCTCCTTGGCTTCTCCAGCCAGGATGGGGCCTGAGCTGAGTGTCCTCCCTGGGCAGGTCCTGGACCCGGAGCTGGAGGTGGCCGACCTCGCCTTCCCCCCTTCCACCATCTCCGCCTCTTCCCTCAAGATGCAGGTGAGTGGTGGGAGGGAGAGGGTCCCTGGGTGAGGGGCTGTTCCCCAGGGTGGGGGGCTGTTCCCCAGGGACACCTTGGGGCAGGAGGAGAGGGACCCTCAGCAGGGGCTGTTCCCCAGGGATACCCCAGGCAGGAGGAGAGGGACCCTCAGCAGGGGCTGTTTTCCAGGGATACCCCAGGCAAGAGGCAGAGGGACCCTCAGCAGGGGCTGTTCCCCAGGGATAGCCCAGGCAGGAGGCAGAGGGACCCTCAGCAGGGGCTGTTTTCCAGGGCCATCCTGGCTCTCACACACCATTCCAGCCCCTTGTCCATCCAAGGCCACTGTTCCAAGCCGTGGCTGGATCCTGCAGTGCCTTGTTCTCCAGATTTACAGCCAGGCTGGAGCAGACAGGGAATGTTTGGGCTTGCAGCATTCCCAGAGCTGGAGAGCTCCCTCTCCTCCCTGTGCAGCTCTAGGGGCCAGAGCAGTGAATCCTGTGCCCCCTTTTCCCTGGAATCTCAGCCACATTCCCTGCCCTCACCCCGGGGCTGATCCCATCCTGGGGGGAAATCCCTGCCCCAGGAGCTGCCCTGTCCACACCCTGAGCGCCCCCAGCCCGGGCTGTGCTTCCCTGTTGCAGGACAAGGAGATCCGGGCCGTGTTCCTGCGCCTGTTTGCTCAGCTGCTGCAGGGCTACCGCTGGTGCCTGCACATCATCCGCATCCATCCCGAGCCCGTCATCCGCTTCCACAAGGTGAGGGCCTCACCCAGGCCGGGCTGGGACAGCTGAGGGCAGGAAACACCCTGCCTTTCCAGGCAGTGACCTCCCCTGCACCCCTGCCAGCCCACCTGCATCCCGTGTTTGTCCTGGAGCGCGCCGAGGTCTCCTGGGGCAGCAGCGCTTCCCTCCCTGCCTGGGTGTTCCTGCAGGGCTCAGCCAGGAGGGAGCCAGGCCTGCAGCTGGGTGT